GTGTAAATTATTGATATTGCTGGTATTTTATTCATTGTTCATTTTCAGTTTTGGTGACTTTACATTTTACAAATCCTCTAATAATTGTTCAAAGATATTTATAAACATTTTCTAAATACATATCATTTTATTTGTCTCTTATATATCATTACCTCAATAAAATTTGCAAACTCTCAGTTGTTTTTGTTTTGTTCCTTTTTAATTGGTGTACTTACTTATATGTTCTATTTTTTGTCTTGTTTGAGTTTATTGAGAGATACAAATCATACATCAGCCCCATGTAGTTGGCCTTGCAAACTATGGCAATGTTTACATGAAAACTATCATCAAAGAATAAAATCGAATATATGGATTGCATGCTTTATTTTGAGTGAGTTCTTTGTCAATTTTTTTCCCACGACGTTGCACGTCGTGATGAGAATATATTTCGTGTGTGTGGAAATTTGTAAAAGTTTTTGCAAGAAATTGGGCATTAACACAAATAGATCGATTCTAAATTTACTCAGATTCTAAATTCACTAATTGTATTGAGTAATAAGAAATTCCTCTGCTTAATTTTAGTATTATGAGCATGGTAATGACATGCATATACCAGCAGGAAAGACGTATTTTACTACATGTGTATATATTTCATTGAATTAGCATCAAAAGTACTCATCAACATTAGTGCATTTAAAATCTGACTACAATATATACATAACCAGACGAATCTTTTTTTTTTAATTAGATAGAAAGTTTTTTTAAATGATGTAGGACAAATTTTCAGCGTATGTTTTCAGAGAATAAGCAAATCTGCTATATACATTAAGAAGTCTTACAATTTTCAGCGGAAGAGCAGTCCAGAATCCATGTTTGATTGCACACTAGTCAGTGAGATGTTGGACATGGACGGCTTTTTTTACACTGTGGTCCGTATAAGCTCAAATCTTATACATTGTTCACCATGTACATTTGTATAAATTGAATGTAACTTTTTAAAAAAAAATTATTGTACAAGCCATTGAATACGTATATGTAAAAATAGGCGTTTAATCGCATAGATCCGTTTTAGTCTAAGCTTCAAAATGTTTATTATCGCCCCCTCAAATCAAACTGTTTGTCTTCAGCCTGACGGCTCCATTTTAGTTCTTTCAGCAAACATAACCCTGAAACCAAGTCAGTAATTGTAATTTAGAACTGCAAACGATAGCATTGTTCTTCTGCCTACATCCAAGTCAATTTTCAAAATAATTAAGATATTCGAATTATTTTTCAGATTTATATATATATATATAAATTTTTAAAAGATTTTCATAAAACATTGCTTATTTGGGACAGCAACAAGAGACAATTCTAAAATTTTGGTAAAACTCGTATTTTTTACCATAGAAATCAATGAAAAATGGTTATCTTTGTTTGTATAACATAATCATGCGTGATGGAAAATATTTAGTATGCTTTTTCAAATCTTTTTCTCAGTGGTTGTTTATATTTTTGAAATCATCGTTTTTACTCTCCCTCAAAAGCTTTGCAAAATATATAATGTAATATATGTTCGATGGAAATGATTAATCTAAAAAGAATCCATCCACTACGTAGCATCTGTTAAAACTACTGTGTGATTAGGACAATTATGGTGATTTATACAATCACGGCTCCGTTTTCTGTCAAAAAACTCTCTTGTGTAATCTTTTATTTGAAAAATAAAACAGACTTTTGTTATACGATGACTAATACAAGGCCATTCGTTTAGGTTGGAAAAGATGGTATCTTTATTGACGGATGTGTTGCACGGATGGGGTGTTCAAGATTGATAAAAAAATAACCAAGTCCTTGCTAAGGGTTCATATGTTTAATATTGCAGATGTTCAATGTAGGAAAATAATTAAAATACTCTACAGATGTACCAAATAAAAAAGTCTTTTTTGAAACAACAATTAATATATAAATATTCAGTATAAATGCTTTAGTAATCAATAAATAGCTTTATCATTATCAAAGAAAGACCATTCAATTACAAGAAAATTACATATTCAATCAAATCCTCCATTTCTCAAATAAATGTATACAATATGATTTATACAATTCTGCATTCTTACAAGGATATCAATGCAGCTAGGGAAAAACATTATTGTAGAATTCTGTTTTATGCTCCCTAGTGACATCCCAGGGACAGCGACTTAAAAAGAATATTGCATTCATTTTATATTCGAATTATGCTGGTTTATTCAAATCATAAAAAAATCTATCAAATAACAGGGTGGTGCTTATTTTAGGGATGTTTCTGAATTACATCCTCAATGAATAAGAAAATGCTACAGTATATACTCACGAAATACGATGCACCCCAAAAAACAAACATCTACAGAATTTCAAAAAGTGTCTAACAAGATGCAGAACTTTTCTTGTGGATATTAAAAGAAACTAAACTAACAATCGATATCGTATACCAGTAGAAACCTTTAAATGTCTATACCTTGTAATACTGAAGAAATATAAGCAAGACCTTCGGAAGCCTACATCCCATGCACAACATAGTTTACACCCTTCATATGTTGGAAAATACATTGCGGAAGCTCTGCTCTAATATCCGCATGCTATTTTGTTCAATCTGAACACGACTTGTAAATGACCACAGACGATCTTTCTTACTTTTGTATCAGCAATGTAATTTAAATTATGATATAATTAGTACACTTTGCCTTCGTAACACCTGTTAACACACCTTGAAATCATGGCCGACGTGTGCTATTCCTTATGTTGCTCTAGTGTTCACATTTTATTTAGATAGTTTGCATTTATATTTGTTTATAGAGCATGTCATGTGCAATATGGATATTACTTTTTGGACTGATGTGGTATAGATGTATACTGTCGTACAATTATTAATTTTATTGCGACCAAGTAGCTACGGCAGTGTAAATAACATTCACATCCAGGCAGGTGACAGCTGTGCATTTTTATTTCAGTCTAAACAGTAAGAAGTCATATAATTATAAAGGGGCTCTGGAATCAAAAGTGTAGGCTGAGAAATGTAGTGGAGAATGACAAAAATTTTATTTTGACCCAGACGTATTTTTCAGGCAATGAATTTTACACTCCATTATTTTATTATTTTTTTTTTGTTTATCCTGTGATATTTAATTTTAGAATCTTTGTGAGATAGAGATTTCGTTGGCCATACATAAAGTCAAAACTCTTGAACTTATGGGATTCATGCGATTTTTATTTAAAGGAAGCTAATGTAAGCAGTAAAAAAAGAATCAGTGATATGCATCTCGTAATTGCAAGGCTAATATTCAAGGAACATACAGGGTGTTTCACAATACATGTCACACATCTAAAGACTGATAGATAAATGACAACTAAAGCTACAAATACATTTTATATATCAATTTAATCAGCATATATTCAAAATTATTTTTCGGGTTCAGAAGTACCCAACATTCTCCACTTCTGTTACTATGGCAACAAATCCTAAAATGTTATTTTCAAAGTGTTTTCCAACATTACATCCTAAATAACTTATGAGACTAATGCTTTGAAATTTCTGACCACTGTTTTGTAAGTTTCTCTGGATACTTGAGACTTTTCTTGTTTTATATCTGGCACACTCAAAATAAATATCTTTTTTCATTTAAAGTTGCATATAAGTAAATGTGTTGTTTCAGAAATACCGGCATGTGTTAACTGGTGTCCACTTCTTTCGCTCTTCTTTTTAGTCAATATTGCAAACTTGAACCGACTCTGAAAGTCAACTGGCTTTAAATGCTGAAATGTTATATGCAGTCAAACAACTCAAATTTAATATTTCTAAATACACTTGATGCACTAACCGGCATTGTTACAATCCACTTTCCTAAACTCAGATCTAATTTTCATGAGGTTTTTCTCAATGATTGATTTCACTTTAATATTGTTCATCTCTTCTTTTTTTTTTTTGGGGGGGGGGGGGGGGGCAGGATTTAGCTGTCTGTCATCTTAACATTAAAATGTAGTTCAAATTCTCTTATTATTCTTAATATATGAAAACTAGACAACAATTTGTGGTCTGAATATTTTTTATCATCACACCCTGTTCAATATTCAGGATATCGTTCTTATAATTAAAGTATACAACAAATTTTTGCTGCAAGTTGTACTCCATTTTGAGAAAAGCTGACATTATGAGGTCACTGATTATTAATCTTTGGACTGACGCCTACAGAATCTCTGGACAATTCTTCATAATTCATGTCTGGAAATTGAGCCCCAACTTTGGCCGACTATAGCAAGAATTATTTACAAAGGCAACACTGCCGCTCCCTTCAATTTTGTCATTTAGTTGTTTACTTGACTCTCTGTCACAATTATTTCTACATAACTTACTGTTTAGGCATGTAAATCCCAACATAAAAATAAAGGTAAACAATTTCGTCACAAGAGCCATGTTTTGAATGGAGATTTCAGTGAATATATTTATGTTGGGATTTACATACCTAAACAGTAAGTTATGTAGAAATAATAGTGACAGAGCGTCAAATAAACAACCAAATGAAAAAATTGAAGCGAGCGGAGTTGTTGCCTATGTACATAATTCTTGCTATAGTCGGCCAAAGTTGGGGCTCAATTTCCAGACATGAATTATGAATGCCTGTCCAGAGATTCTGTAGGCGTCAGTCCAAATATCTAGCCTAGCAGAATCTCAACAGAGATTAACTGATTATATCATCAGTTACTTCATGGTATATTATAATTTCCCCAATACTTTGCAATATCATAATTTTGGATCTATTTGCTTTCCTATAGTGTTTTGGTATTTTTGTTATCATGCTCAGTATTCAGATTATGCCCATTTAGATGTGTGACATATATTGTGAAACACCCTGTACATTTTATTGTGGTTAAGGAGAATTGTGACTAGCGATATTTGATATCGATTTTAATACCGGGAAACAAGAATAGAACAGGTAAACACACACTGACATTCGATAAGGAAATGTGATTTTTAAAAAATCAAACTACAGAGAACAAATTGAAACTGGTTGCCTTTCAGTTTGTAAAGAACATTTTGGCTGAGTATGGTATATTCTTGGAATAAATCTATTGTATCTGCTTGGATTCCTTAAATGAAGTGTTAAACAAATCTATATTGTACCTTCAGAGGTAAGTTTTGTAATTTTCTATTTCCTAATAATTATTTAATGACCCTTTGGGAGTATCAACATTTATTCTATGTTTACACCTTTATCCCGTGGATATACTCATGTAATATCGTTTTCATATCCCACACTTAAGTGCAGTTATGACGTCACAATGGTTTTTGCATTAGCTAGCGTGATGAAATAAAATATAGCGGAGTCTCATATAAAAACAAGGTAAAACATCGGTTGTGAAGTATTAAACATGGGATAAAAAGAATCTCCCATGGTTTGTAGCTGGATATGATTTTTATCCAACTCGTTGTGTATATATATCAATTACTTTGCAAAATATAATCATACTTTGACCTTGGCAATAACTTTTGAATAGATTGTGCTAGGGCTCTAATTAATATCTAATAATTTTACTTGCATTCTATCTGAACAATACTTTCATTTGATACCAACGTTTTTTTTACGAAATATCCATAATTTGACAGACTTTCGGCATACACATTCTGAACGTGGGACTGATTGGCTATTCATAAATTTGAAGACCTTCAGTATAAACACATCATTTCCTTTGCAATTTATTTTTCAGAGAAGCATTTAATAATGGCTATGGCAGCCTCCCCTTACGCTTCTACAGAGGAGACAACAAATGCCTGTAGAACCTGTCGACTTCTCTTGGGTCCGTGTACTGATCAACTTAGAGGTGTTTTACGTCATTTTGTACCACCGTCTACATTCCCACGCGTCATTAAACAAAATATCAGTAATCGTCCCCGTCTGACAGTACCACAGCTTAATCTGATTTTACCAAGAGGTAGTACTTATACCGGAAACTACGAGGATATGGATATTCCTTTATTGTACATACTACTCCGAAACATTTGTAGCATACCGCCACACACCAATGGTTGGGGAAATGATCCAGACCCTACAGACAGATCTCTCTCTGCCAACATTGAAAGGATTCGGATTGCCAGAAACCAGTGTGTTCATTCTTCTAGTCCCGCCCTATCCAATGCTGATTTCAACACAATCTGGTCCACTGTCAGATCAGCCGTTGTGGACCTTGATTCTTTCCTACATAACAGGAATCAGTATGAAAGAGAAGTTGATTTTTTGAGACATGAGACAATGGACCCTGTCCGTGATCTTTACTTCATCGAAGAACTGAGAATACAAGCAGCAGAAGACACGATTACAAGAGAAAGAGTTCATGGCCTAGAATGTAAATTTGATAATTGAAATAGAAATGAAACGTGGTAACTTATTTCAATGAATCAATCTGATAATTATCTTGCACTATAACATGGCCAATATTTTTTTAAAGTTATTTCATTTTTTTTAAGGTAAAGTAGAAGAGATGGCTAAAAATCAAAATGTGAGAGAAAACACGATGTTACAAATTACGGGCAAGTAGCAATATTTATACGTCCTAAATGATTAAGTATTTCAATGCGTTACACAAAGGACCTTATAACATACACCCGCTACTCAGGACAAACCAAAAAAAGGAAACTTTAAATACCTCTTTTTGCATACTTAATCACCTCGTTTTCATTTTTTTTAAATCCATGTCATAAATCACCTTATCTTGCGCGACAAGATTTATTTTCCTAACTCCATAACGCTATATATTTAAACTTTGTAAAAAAAATCATATATCAAAAGCTGTATGAAATAAATTAGAGAAGCTATATTTAGTTTGGAAAAACATTTTAGTTTATGGCATCTGTAAATTGATTGTGAATTGATGAATAAAAACCTTGAAGTTGGTATGTACATATAATACCAGTCACATCCGATCTTGGTCTATAAACCTTTTAAAATCAGCAGAGAATATAAGTACTGCTGGAAGCCTGGTTAACTTGGAAATTACAGACGTATTTTAAATATATACATGTATACTTGTTTTAGCATAGAATGTCGCATGGCAAGTAAAAAATTAAAGTAAATACATCAAGCAAAATGACAGCTCTGTTTGTGTCAAATGGATGGGACACCATTGAGTAAACTGTTCAACAGAACTATAACAGAATGAAGAATGCTCAAATTATGTTGTGAAACCTTGAGTAATGGACGAAACCTAGATATATGAAATTAGATGATACATGTATATATACAAAAATAGTTTTCATTTTTTCGTTACAATCTGCTTGGTAAAAAACACTCTGGGTTAAGAGGAAATGTAAGGACTAAATGTGTGTTAAATTTGTGAAAATTGCTATCAAAGTTTAACATAAAATAACACATGTAAGATATTTTTTTAAATAAATATAAGTACATGTTACCCTATGATGTTTAACATAACAAAGACTATAATGGCAACCCTATTTTTATTCAAATTTACTCGCAAAGTTTGGCAAGAATGTACTTTTGTTTGAATGAATGTCACTGAGCATCGTTTTAGTATTGAAAATTCTTATGGAAACAAATTAATCATGGGTGAAAAGAATATACATACATGTACATGTTTTTACACAGGAAGAAACAAGACCTTTCAGTTAAAACTGAAAGGCGACTTTCAGTGACTTTTCAGTGACCATTCAGCCACTGAATGGCACATACATTTCAATTGACTTTCAGCCACATTTCAGGTACCTTTCAGTCACCATTCAGCGGACACATTAAGGTCCGCCAAGAAGAGTTATCTACCCCAGATGGCGCTTGTGTACTATGAGGTATAGATCCGTCGCCATATTGTTTACTTTATTAAGTTAGAAACCGCGTTTGTGATAAATCGTCGATATGCCAGTGTATTGCTGTGTACCTATGTGTAAAAATAAGATAGGTGGGCATCTGTTCCCTTCGAATCCTGATCTTAAATTAAAATGGCGAGTCGCGATTCGATGATTGGATGTGAAAACACGAAAGTTATGGGAGCCAGCTGCTTACGACCGGGTGTGTGGCGATCTCTTCACATCCGATGGTTACATTCAGTCAACATTACTTGGTTAGTCCGTTATCGTAATCTTATTGTTGATCTAATTATTACGTTTTTAAGTTTGGAAATAATTCTTAGTTCAAAATTATCGATCTTAGACGATGGTAGTTATCTCAACGCGATGTTCAGCATGCTGGTCATAGCCCGTCGCAAACCACGGCCAAAATGTACGATCAGGAGATAACCTACAACTACTGTTTTTATACCCTGGCGGTTCTCGATTTACCACTTACACAAACATCTGACAGCATCGTTTTTATACCCATATGATTAAATAAAGAGAAAACGTAAATTTGAAAGTAAGCTTCAGACGAGTTTCATTTATTTTAAGGGGAAAGGTGACTTCCGGTGACTTCCGGTGTAGATGGACTGGAAAAACAAAGGAGAGAAAAGTTATTTTTCTGCAAACTAAAAGAGCTCAAATTGCATAAAAAGGGTAGTGGTAGGTCTCTAAGGTGTTTGAGAAGGTTTTGCAATAAATCTGTGGTCGAGAAAATCTATTTTGCCTACGAAATTTTCGAAATATCCAACAAAGGATGGCTAGTAAACAAATCCAAGATGGCGGACTCGATCAAAGCAGGGAAAACAAACTGAAGAGAAGAGGTAGACCTGCTAAATCAGCATCTAACTCTAGGAACAACTCCAGAACTAACTCCCCTAATAAACTTGCAAATGGATCAAATGACACGGAGGAAATTTGGAAATGCAACTTGTGTAAATACTCGTTCTCTGACCCCAGTGACAAATTACTGGATTGCCAACGATGCACGCAGTACAGTTAAGGTGCGCAATGGAAATATCGACTAAATTTTGTATTTAAAAATGTATTCGTAATCGGGATGGCGATTATTTTTAGTACATTATTTATATCGGATAATTGTTATTATGATTGATAACTACATATCGAGGACGATTGTATTTTATATTTAGACTAGTCACGTGATGCGGCAGTCACGCGATTTTAGCACATTGACTTGAAGTATTGATGTTACATATAAATATCACTTGTGCAAGGGCATAACCAAGTTAAATTTCCAAGTTTAGTATATAAATATTTTCAACACGCATTGTAGTTTCTAAAAAGTGCTGCGATCCTGTTTAAATTCTGCAATTTCATTATTAAAATTATACTTGTATGACAGAATGCTACATTTTTTGCTGGTCAGCGGCATGAAATATTGATATAATTAAATTGTCTTTATGACTTCATCAGGATCGCAGCACTTTTCAGATATCTTAATAGTTCTATAGTGAAATTGTAAAAGCTGACTTTGATCCATAGAGCGTATGCCCTTGCACTAGATCGATTTATTAGGACCCCCTACATTACCCTCCGATATACTTGCATACAAATATACGGCAGTGTCAATTAAATACTTAATGTACAGAAAATATATTAATAAAATAGTGAAAAAGACATTAAATTCAAGTTATTGGCCCATAGAATATCTGTAAATAATATTTTATTTAATTAGAGAATACATATTTTGTTGAGAAAATATTACTTGATCTGTCTCTCCCTGTATACAAACTACGTCACGTTGTAAGAAAGGACGTCATATTGACAAGTGTATTGCGATCAGTGACTTGTTTATAACTTGTTATGTGGGATTTAACTAACGACGACAAAACAACACGCTGTAGTAAATTTTTATGTTGTTTAATGATTTCTTACTGGTTAAATTAGCAGTTAAACTCATTTTGTGGTATTTTAAAGAAATGCTGTATGACGTATATTGTGTATGATGTCATAGTCAAGTTTTCCCGTACAAATTAGGCTCCGCCTCCTTTTTGTAACCTTAACTGTGCTGCGCAAGGACCACTTTTGTATTAAGTGCTTGGACAAGTCGGTCGAAGAATACAATCTGATGGACAGTAGTGATATCATGTGGTTCTGTGTGCCATGCCGAGAAAAAGTGAAAAAAAATATCATTGTGGACAGAGAAATTGAGGAGAGATGTAAAGACATGATGAAGATGTTCGACAGTAGAATTAAGTATCTGGAGGACGAGATGGAGAAGAAATGCAGTGAAGAACAAGTGAGGGAGATAGTTTCTGGGGCAATACAGAAATCAACAGAATTAAATCAAGCTGATACAGAGGACGAGACTGCGAGTGAATCTGGAAAACACACCGTGCCAGTATCAGCAGTACTGAGTGAAATTAATGAGAGGAAAAACAGAGAATGTAACATGATCATCTATGGGATAGAGGAAAGTGACTCAGACAAGGAAGTACGTCGTACCTATGATAGAGATCAGGTGAAAGAAATTGCTGAGGTTTGTGAAGTGAACAAGGCAGATGAAAACATGATAAAGTTAGTGAGACTTGGTAAATTTAATAAGGATAAGAAACGCCGTCCATTGCTCGTTACTTTCTCAACCCCAGAAAAAAAAGTGGAGTTCTTTAAACGAGGTGGAAAGTTGCGGGAAAACACTGAATTCAGTGAAGTAAGACTTGCAAATGATTTGACACGCACAGAGAGGGAAAATGAAAAGAAACTGTATATGAAAGCCAAAGAACTGAATAAAAATGGTTCGGGGGAATACAATTACCGTGTGCGCGGTCCACCTTGGGCAAGGAAAGTGGTAAAGCTCAGGGTAAGCGATCCAGAGTAGAAGATACAAAGAGGAATGTAAATAATGTACATAGTTTTAAAGTGATAAACAAACTCTCGTTCTTTTACACCAATGCAGACCAATTTAGAAATAAGTTTAATGAGTTCCAGGTCAGGATAAGGGACACAAAGCCATTGATAATAGGAATAACAGAAGAGAAGGCAAAAAATGCAACATGTGCACCTAATCCAGCTGAATATACGATGGACTGGACGAAGGAATACAGGATGTTTCATGTAAATATTGAAAGCAGCATAGGTAGAGGACTACTTTTATATATACATGATTCTCTTTATGCAGAGGAGGCAAAACTTTCAGTATCCTTTGAGGAGCAGCTTTTTGTGAAAATAAAGATAAACAGCACAGATTATTTCCTAGTTGGCCTCATTTATCGGTCACCGTCAGACAATACCGAAGAAAAAAATGAATGTTTAAGAAACCTGATAACTGAAGCCTCAAGAATGAAGTGCAAACACTATCTCATTATGGGAGATTTCAACTATCCTAATATAGACTGGGATTTACTGTGTACAAAAAGTGAAAACTCTGCTGAGCAGAAATTCATAGATTGTCTGCAGGACAACTTCATGTTCCAAACCGTCACAAAACCAACAAGGTGGAGAGGAACGAACATTCCAACCATTTTGGATCTTGTGATCACAAAGGATGAAAATGCTGTGGAGGAAATGGAATACCAAAGCCCATTAGGAAAGAGCGACCACTGTGTTATCTGCTTTAACTATGTTTGCAGTGCAATACTGAAAAGCGGACCAAAAAAGAGGAGGACTTATAGGAAAGCTAACTTTGCTGGTATGAAAAAGGAAATTAGCGAAACAGATTGGGAAAGCATTTTGGAGT